TTCCGACCGCTTGACGCGCACCCACAGTCGGGCGGCGCGCCCGGCCGGGCCGCCCGGCACGGGCTCTTACTTTTCCCGCAGGTGGGCCTCCTAGCGCCCAGCCCGCGGCTGCTGCCCCTCCCCGCGGCCAGGGGGTCTGTTGGGTGGCGCCCGACGCTGACGCGGGGGGCCCCTGTGCAGCCCTCTGGGGAGGGGGTCCCCCGGCGGCCCCCCCGACCGCTTGGGGCGGGTGGCTGCTCGGTAGGCACTCTCGCCAGAGCGGGGTGGCAATGCACGGGGCGACATCGCACGGCGAGTGGCAGCACTCCAGACGTGCCCAGGCCAGCCACCGGACACCCCGATGGCGCCCGGGGGCGGCCCGCCGCATGGCAAGCTTGGCCAGCGCCAAGCTTCACCTGGGCTGGCCGCCCCGGGGTGCTCACCGGCGAGCCCCGGGACTCCCCGAACCGTCCGAGCGCTCCCGGCCCCCCCCCCCCCCCGAAGGACGCCCGCCCCGGCCCCGGCACTGGGCCACCCCCCAGCCCCCAGCCCCCGGGCCCGGCCAACCGGGGCCAACAAGCTCCGGTGCGTCCATGGGTGCCCCCCGGACGGGGTCGTCAGCGCGGGCGTCAGGGGCCTCCTGTCCATGCCTCACTCTGGCGCGGGTCAGGGCCGGGCACCAGGGCACGGAAAAAGGTATGAACAAATATTCATACCTTTTTCAGCCTGCGGCGGCTTCCATATGGGGGGGGGGAGAGAGGCGGGCCGGCGGGGGGCGAGGGCCAGGGAGGGAGGAGGGGAGGGCGGGGAGGAGGCGAGGGGGCCAGGACGACGAGGGGGCGAGGGCGGGGGGGCGAGGGGGCCGGAGACGAGTCGGAAGGGGGCCAGTTTATCGCCACTTCTTATACCTCGCTACTCCGCTCTGGTTCTATCATGGGGCCCGCGCGGCAGCCTCCGCAGCTGCCTCCTCCGCAGCTGCCTCCAGCCGGCGCGCCTCGGCGGCCGTGGGGGGGCTGCTCGCCCAGCCCGCTGCCGCCGGCCCCGCGCGCCCCAGCGCTGCCACCGCCGGGGGGCACTGCTCGGGCCCAGGTCTCGAGCGAGGCGCCGCAGAACCGGCACGCGGCCACCGCCCCGGTTGCATCGCGCAGGAGGGCGCCCTGCAAGGCGAGGCGAGCCCACGCTCGAACCTCTGGTAGCGTGGCTCCCTGCGCGCTGAGGTCTGCCGCCGTGGCCCCGGTGCCCGCTGGCCGCTGGAGGGCTTCCCGCTGCGCGGGCTCGGCCAGCCATGCCCTGTCCTGGCCACGAGCGGCAGCCCGCGCCAGGCGCCTGAGGTGGCGAGCTGCGATCACCCCACCCTGGGCGCGGCCGCCCCCCCCCCGGGTTCGCCGTCCTGGTCTGGCTGCGGACAGTGGGGGGAGGTGCGACGAAGGTGCCAGGGCCGGCCCCTGCCCCAACGCGCGCCAGCGACCCGGCCAAGACCGAGCCGACTGGCGGCATGAGGTGGGTACGCGGCGCGGCCCTCCCGCCCGTCCCACCGCCCGGGTCGCACCTGCTCCTCGGTCGGGGCGCCCCCCCCGAGTCCTGACGGGCCTCGGCCGGAGGAGGAGGAGGAGGAGGAGGAGGAGGGGGAGGAGGAGGAAGGGGGGGCGAGGGGAACGGGGGGAGGGAGAGGGGCAGGGGGGGAGGGCCCCGAGGGGGGGAAAGGGGGCCGCCCCGCCCGGCCACGCGCCACGGACTCGAGGCGCGGGTCTCAAGGGCCCTCCAGGGAAGGTCCCAGGCACCACACGCCCCCGGCCACGCCGTCCCACGGACGGGGGTCTCAGGGGGGCGCGCTGCCACCCCGCCCGGCCACGCGCCGAGGAATGGCGCGGGTCTCAGGGGCCCTCCGGGGGAGAGACCTCCCCGAGCCCCCAGCCCCGCCGTCCCACGGACGGGGGTCTCAGGGGGGCGCCTGTCCAGGGTAAGCTGAGGAAGGAGGGCCCGGCCGAGAGGCGGGAGGAGGGGGGAGGGGCACGGGGCGGGAAGGCAAGAGGAGAGGGCGGAAAGGCAGGGGAAGAAGGGGGAGAGGGGACGAGCAGAGCACGGGGCGGGGGAGGGGGAGGCGAGGGGGAGGCGTGCCTCCTGGGCGCTCGCCGGATGTTCGGCTCCCGGCCGGTCCGGGCCTCGGCACCACCGGTCAGTCCTCAGCTGGACTGCAGGACCGCGCCGTGGAGCTGAGGGGGGGAGGGTCCGCGGGGTCGCCGCCCTCCCAGTCCCCCACGATTGCACGTGCGACACCGGCGACGACGACGACGACGGCGACAGCGGCGGCGACCGCGACGACGACGGCGACCGCGACGACCAGCGGCGGCGGCGACGACGGCAGCAGCGGTGGAGACAAAGGGCCCCGCGTCGCCACCCGCGAAGGTCCGGGGCCAATCCCTGTGCTCCAGGCCGCCTCGGGAATGCCCTGGCTGCAAGCACGCCGCGGCCCGCCGGACAGAAAAAGGTATGAAACAAAAATCATACCTTTTTCTGCCCGCGGCGTCCCCGGATGCTCGGCTCCCGGGGGATGCGTGGCCCCCGGGCGCTCGCCGGATGCTCGATCTGCACCCTCTCTGCGATGTACTGCGCCCTGGTATACCCCTTCCAGATCGAGCCCTTTGCCTGCTTCCTGGCCCTCCATGCTCTGTCGGCCTGGAGGGTCGCCTGGTAGAGGCTCAGGGAGTCCGTGGCGAGGGTACTTATGCCCTTCCTCTTCTGCACCGCCTTCATAGCTGTCTTCGTAGCTGCCGTCGCTAGCCACGCCTTTGCTGAGGCCCTCCGAGGCAGGGTCATCTCCGGCAGGCGGCGGCACCCGGCGCCCAGGGCGGCGGTCCTCGGCGCCCGGGGCGGCGCCCTGGCCCGGGGCGGCGCCCGGGGAGGCGCCCTGGCCCGACCGAGGGGGGCCCGGCGAGGGCAGGCGGCGGGGGCAAGCTGCGGCGCCTGGCGTCTGGCGCCCGGCGCCCTGCGGCCGGGACTGTCCGCTGCCCGGCGCCCTGGCCCGGGCCGGGGCAGGCTGCGGCGTCCGGCGCCGGGGGCGGCAGCGCCCGGCGCCCGCCCTCGGGGCGGCGTCGGCGCCCGGCGCCCGGCGCAGCGCGCAGGGGCGGCCGCTCTATTGCTGGAGGGGGGGAGGAGGGAGACGGCCCGAGGTGCGCGGCGGGAGAGGCCGCGCGCCCGGCGGGAACAGAAGACACGCTGCTTGAGCCTTCTCCTCCTTGAGCCTCCTCCTCCTCCTCCTCCTCCTCCTCCTCCTCCTGCTCCTCTCCTCCTCCTCCTCCTCCTCCTCCTCCTCCTCCTCCTCCTCCTCCTCCCGCAGAGGCGTCCCTGGAGGCGTCCTGGGAGCGGGCCCCGAGTCAAAATACCACCCCCCTAGGGCGCATTTTCCTCGAGAGGGCACGCCCGAGATGCACTTCTTCCTCTTCCGGGAGCACGTCCCAAGTCAGAATATCACACTCCCGGGGCGCACTTTCTTCGAGCGGGCACACAAAGGATGCACTTCCTCCTCCTCCTCCTCCTCCGCCTCCTCCTCCTCCTCCTCATCATCCTCTTCCTCCTCCTCCTTCTCCTCCTCCTCCTCCTCCTTCTCCTCCTCCTCCTCCTCCTGATCCTCCTCATCCTCCTCCTCCTCCTCATCCTCCGCTTCCTCCCCCCACTCCTAGCCCTTTCGATCAGGGTCGGCGGCACCGGCCGTCAGGCCTCTCCAATAATTTCTCCCTGTCGCACCTCGATGCCAGTTTCTAGGGCGAGCTGTGCGTTTCGCCTGAGACATCCGCGCGATTCATGACCCTAAAGCTTCAAAAATGGCAACAGCTTCACAGATGGAGGGCGGGTCGTTTTCAAAATGTGGCTCTCGCCTTAGCGCCGCGCACATTCCTTTTCAACATTTGCAAGAGCTTCGCGGATTGAGGGCGGTTCCATTTCAAAATGTTGCTCTCGCCTTAGCGCCGCGCACATTCCTTTTCAAAAGTTGCAAGAGTTTTACGGATGGAGGGCGGGTGATTTTCAAAATGTAGCTCTCGCCTTAGCGCCGTCCACATTCGTTTAAGACTTGCACGGATCAGGGGGCGGTTCCTTTTCAAAATGTGGCTCTCGCCTTGGCGCCGCGCAAACTCCTTTGTTCAAAAAATGCAAAAGTTACACGGGTCCCCATGATCAGCATACAAAAAAGTGTTTGGGAAGGATTCAGGATTATGGGGTCGCAACAGTTACATTGATTCGCTGTGTTGAAGTCTCAGGAATGGTGTTCTGGTACGGTTCAGGATCCTCGAAACGCAACAGTCAGGTTGATCCGTGACGTTGGTATCCCGGGAATATTGTTTTGGTATGCTTCAAGGACTTCCAACGGATGTCAACCAACGAGGCAGTTCCCTCAGTGGACTTGAACCGTTGTAGGGATCTATGAAGAGGGAGCTTGGAGGGAGGGTTTATTCCAACATCGTTGATGGCTCTTGGTTTTCCACTGGTCCTCCTCCTACTTCTCTTCCTCCTCCTTCTCCTCCCCTCCTACGCCTCCTCCCTCCTCCCTCCTCCTCCTCCTCCTCCTCCTCCTCCTCCTCCTCCTCCTCCTCCTCCTCCTCCTCCTCCTCCTCCTCCTCCTCCTCCTCCTCTCCTCCTCCTCCTCCCTTGTCATCCATCATTCACCCTCTCCCCATTCAATACCTTCCCATGTCCTCAATATCGTCGTCCTCAGTCCTCCTCCACATTCTCCTCCTCCTCCGCCTCCTCCTCCTCATCATCATCTTCCTCATCCTCCTCCTCCTCCTCCTGCGCCTCCTCCTCCTCCTCCTCCTCCTCCTCCTCCTCCTCCTCCTCCTCCTCCTCCTCCTCACCGCTCTTCCCCCCACCCTACCCCACCCCCGCGGGCGTGCGCTGCCGCGCGCCTGGGAGCGTTCGCGCTCGGGAAGGGCAGGCGAAGGGGAATTGTGAGGAGGAGGAGGAGAAAGAGGAGGAGGAGGAGGAGAAGAGGAGGAGGAAGACCAGAGTAAACCCAAAATACCCGAACAATGCTGGACTACACCTTCCAGTCCCACTTCTTCTCCTCACCGGTCCTTACAAGCCTTCCTTCGACTGCAGGAAGCGCACCCCTGAAAGACGAGCACCCCATGGGCTTGCCAGCCAGGCGAGAGCCCCATCTGTAAAAGGGACTGGCGTACACCCGTCTGGCAAATGCTAAGGAATGCAGGTACTGTGATGGATAAGTTCAAGGAGGTGTTTGAACAAGAAGCCGCCCCTCTCAAATTGAGACAGTGTCCACCGAGAGCCCCGTGTTGGAAGAGACCCGCTGTCCATCCGCACAGCTGCAACCCAGCTCCCAGCGTCTGGTCCCCGGCAAGCGCAGGTCCGAAAAGGAACCGCCATCCACCCCTGTACCTGTTGCAAGCGTCGCTGGCGAGTGCACGCAGCACTAAGGCGAGGGCAGCTGCTTGAAAACGAACTAGCCTCCACCCTGGAAGCGACTGGAAGCTGCTGCAAACTTTTGCGACAAATGTGCGCGGCGATGCGGAGCCACGAAACCAACTGGCATTCCACCTTTGAAACACGCATGGTGCGTGCGGGTGTAAGGGTAGAGCCGCAATATGAAAACGACTGGCCGCCCCCTCCTTGAAAATGTGGCAAACTGTGAATGTTGGAAACGCCCGACCCTACATCCTTGAAGTGGCTTGAGCTGTTTAGCTGCAGGCTTGCAGATTGCGTGGACATCTCAAACGAAATGACTGGCTCGGCCTACGGAAACGCCTGGAGGTGTTACAGCGGGGGGGATTGGGAAGGAAGTAGTATGAAGGAGGACGAGAAAAGGAAACGGGAGGAGGAGGAGGAGGAGGAGGAGGAGGAGGAGGAGGAGGCGGAGCGATGGAGGAGAGAGGAGGAAGGACGGAAGAGGGAGGTAGGGGGAGGAGGTGGAGGGGAGGAGGAGGGAGGAGGAGGAGGGAGGAGGACGGAGGAGGCAGAAGTGAGGGGAAGGGGAGAAGGAGGAGGGAGGAGCAGGGAGCAGGAGGAAGATGGAGAGGAGGAGGAGGACAAGTGCAAACCCACAACGCATGAACGATGATGCAATAAATCCTCCCTTCAAGTTCCCTCTGCGAAGGTCCCCGCAGAGATTTATCTTGATTGCGGGAAGTGTGCCGTTGGAAGACAGCCGTCTGGTAATCACCAACAGTGTCAAAACATCAATCTTGGGACTCCAACGCCGCGACTCTAAATTACTGCTGCGTCCTGACGGTCCTGAATCGTGCCGGAACACCATGTCTAAGAAATCAGAACCGCACATCAACGTGACTGTTACGCCCTGACATTCCTGAATTGTGCCTCAACGCCGTTTGGCGACGTCAACCATAAGAACCCTTGAAACTGTTAAGGTTGAAGTGAGAGTGAGCAGCGCTAAGGCGAGAGCCAAATTTTGAAGTGGAACCGCCCTGCATCCGTGAAACTCTTGCAAGCTTTGAGACACATGTGCGCGGCGCTAATGCGAGAGCCAAAATTTGAAAATGAGCCACCATCCATCCGTGAAAATCACGCGAGCTTTTACAACGAATGAACCTGGCGCGACCCCAATTAGGCAAAAACTCCCTATTGCATGGGCGCAGTGCTTAGCATTGCTTCGCATTCCTTGGCGCTTCTTGGCATTGCTTGGCATTGCCTTGCACTGCTTGGAATTGCTTCGCATTGCTTCGCATTGGTTCGCATTGCTTGGCATTGCTTCGCATTGCTTTGCATTGTTTGGCACTGCTTCGCATTGCTACGCATTGCTTCGCATTGCTTGGCATTGAAGGGGAGTGCTTCGCATTGCTTGGCATTGCTTGGCATTGCTTCGCATTCCTTTGGCATTGCTTCGCACTGCTTCGCATTGCTTCGCATTGCTTCGAACTGCCTCGCATTGCTTCGCATTGCTTCGAATTGCTTGGCATTGCTTCGAATTTCTTCGCATTGTTCCACAATTCTTGACATTGCTTGGCATTGCGTGGCATTGCTTGCCATTGTTTCGCATTGCTTCGCATTGCTACGCATTGCTTCGACTTGCTTTGCATTGCTTGGCATTGCTTGGCATTGCTTCGCATTGCTTGGCATTGATTGGAATTGCTTCGCATAGCTTTGCATTGTTTGGCGTCGCTTGGCGTTGCTTCGCATTGCTTGGCATTGCTCGACATTGCTTCGCATTGCTTCAAATAGCTTTTCATTGCTTCGCATTGCTTGGCATTGCTTGGCATTGCTTGGCATTGCTTGGCATTGCTTGGCATTGCTTCGCATTGCTTGGCATTGCTTGGCATTGCTTGGCATTCCTTGGCATTGCTTGGCATGAGGCACGGGGTCGGGGAACCCAGGGAACCCGGGGACCAGGGAACCCAGGGAACCAGGGGAACGGGCGACGTAAGAATAGGAGGCACTGGGGGCGGGGAACCCGGGGAACCCCGAGGAACCCCGAGGAACGGGCGACGTAAGAATACGAGGCACCGGGGGCGGGAACTTGGGGAACCTCCGAGCAACGGTCAACATAAGAATACGAGGCACCAACCTTTAGCCAAGTAGAGAACCCCTTGGACAAGCCTAATTGGGTAATGCGCGCGGCGCTAAACCGAAAGCCACCTTTTGAAAACGGCCCGATTTGACTCCGCGAAACTCTTGCAAACTTTCAATACGAATGCGCGCGGCGCTGTTGCGAGAGCCATATTTTGAAAATGGCCCGCCCTCCATCCGAAAAACTGTTACCAATTCCAAGCTTCAGGATCATCAATTGTGAGGACCACGTCCACCCTCGATCCTCGAGCCTTGGCCTTTGACCCTCGAGCATCCGATCCTCGCATCTCGAACCTCGATCCCCGAATCTCCATCCCTGATCCTCGAACCTCGAACCTCGAACCTCGACCGCTGCCAGGGACCCCTCTGGCAGCACCCGACCCGCCCCAGCCGGCGAGGCCTTGATGGCGCTCCGCCGCAGAACGTCCTCCACGGGGCCTATCAGCCGCTCCAGCGCGTGCTTCCCGAGCGCGAGGCACTCGGTGGCCTCGAACGCCTTGGCGCCGGACACCTGGAGGATGGAGGAGCAAAACACTGCACGCCAAGAAGCCGGAACACACACACACACATGGCTGGAGCCACATGCGGAACATCCGGAGGGTATCTGCTGGACACAAGTGTGGAAGCCCAGAACACACGGTCACAGAAGGCCCGAGCGCTAGAAAGACATCTGTACACATGCGTATCCAGCTCTCGCGCATGCAACCGCGTCATGTGTATCCAGCTTCCTGGTAGCATTGGGGGCGAGGGTCCAGCGCCGACCGAAGAAGAGGCGCGACCTCCGAAAGTTGATGCTTGCGCTGCTACTGTTTTTCTTCCTGGGGAGGAGGAACCTTTTCTTTCGCAAATACAAAAACATCCACGGGGAGTTAGCACGCGCGCGTGCCGTCCGCATCACGAGCCAAGTGGAAAGCAATCGTGAAGCAAATCCGCAACCCCAATCAAGAGGGGTGAAAGCCGATGCTGTACTATGCACCGATCTTCGTGAGGAGGAGGAACCTTGAAGTGACGGCTCTTGGGCGCAGAGGCTCCGTTTCAGTCGGGATTGAGATCGGCTGCGGGGGACGTCCAAGAGGGCACAGGCATTTTCCCCGGGCAGCCCGTGCTCCATGACACACGACATACGGAACACTGGGGCACCCCTGCTTCTTCAGGGCCGACCCACTAACCAGACACGACTACAGTGGTCCCAGCCTCCTGGTGCAACCGCTCTCGATGGCACAGCGGTCGCAAGCGCCCATCGTGGTCGACGCCCAAGGTCGGGGCAACATTCGGGCAGACCGAGGCCCAGCGGTGGGTGTTTCCCAGTGGCACCGGACACCTGAGGGGGGGAAGCAGCCTGAAGGAGACAGGTCCTGAACAGCTCAGGTCCCGAAGCAAGGGGGTCCTGGAAAGACATTCTTCCGAGGATGCAACTTGGAGGCTCGAGGTCTCTGGGCAGGCTTGGACTTCGGAGGGGCCTGTCGCCGTCAAATCTGAACGCGCCGACAAAGCTGGCCCGAACGCGCCCCGAGACGGGCCTGGAGCAGGAGAGCTCGCCCGAAGGAAACGGGACCCGAAGGAAGCGTGTCCTGGAGGATCGAGGATCGGGACTGAGGCTCGAGGCCTCTGGACATGCCTCGCCCTTTCTGGGCCTCTCGCCACTGCGGCTGGAGCCCCCTCGAAGAGATTCTGGCCCAAACGCACTCCGGGAGAGACCTCGGTCTTCAGAAGGAATCCCCCACTTGGGCGACGAAAAGAAGCGGGTCTTACGCGAGATGGCATAGCGACCGTACTCGGTGGCTTACGCGGGCCGCCGGCGCGGCACGCTCCATTGGAGACGGAGGCGCTTACGCGCGACCTTACGCGGGCAGCTTACGCACGAGTGCCGGCGCAGACTACCCAATGTGTCTGCGCCGCTCACTTGCCACCACCAAGGGAGCGAGTCCCGGAGGTATTTCTCCCCGAACCTCGGACCCGCGGGGCTCTCTCCGGCAAGGCCCCGGGAGCGTCAGGCAAAGCAACTCGGGGTGAAGGAATATTGGTCCCGGGGAAGCCCCGCGGGCTGGGGCCCAGTTCCCTCAGGACCCCCTTTCCTTCCTTCCTGGCGGGGGGGGGGGAGGAGGGTGGGGGGAGGGAGGGTAACGAAGAAACGCTCCATGGAGGACTGGCTCACCCATCAGCTGGATAGTGAAGGATCAAGACAAGCATCCAGGCGGGGATCAAGTGCACCTGAGTTGGTGTCCCCAAGACTTCGCCGAATTCAAGCACGCTGCCCGAAATCCTAACCTCTGGCACTGGTACCCGTCGGTCGGAAGAACTGAACAGAAACACGAGCTAGGAAGGCGTTGGGAGTAGATTGGGCCCCCGCCCACTCATTACCTGAAGAGGAGGGAAGAAGGAAGACCGCTGGACTTCTGAAGTAGGAAGGCGCCTACAGTAATTTGGGATCGGGGAATCCAGAAAGACCTGCTCCCAACGACCAACGAGCAACGAAGCCTGGGACCACGGCTCCAAATTTGGAAAAGAGAGGGCGGCCGGAGGAAGGAGGGAGGACTTCCCAGACACCCTGGCGCGGCGACAGAAAACACGATGGGCGGATTTGGCCCATCTTCGGCCTCTGGGGGGGGCCCTGACGGGGCCCCGGGGCCGTCAATCGGCGGCGAGCCTTGGGGGGGAAGTGAGGAGGAGAAGGCCTTCTCAGAAGGCGGCTGGACTCCTCAGAATCCCTCGCGCCTTTTGAGAAGTTTCCGGGTGTCTTCGGGGAAGGCTTAGAAAGCTTCTCAGAAGGCCGCGGGACTTCCGAGCCTTCTGAAAGAGCCTTCTCCTTCTCACTTCCCGACCTCCCTCGCCGCAGAGCCAAAAAAACGAGTCGGGGGGTCGGAACAGGGGTCGGGACCTCCGGGGAGCCCACGCTGTGACGAAAAAGCGCGACATCGGGTGCGCGGGCCAGGAAGAGGCTGCCAAGAAGTGAGCTCGAAAGATCCGGTGTTTTTGCAGGCGTGGCTGGGAGTATGTGCTCCCCCGAGGGAGGGCGGGGAGGGCCTGGCTCTTGCCGTACATCAGCCCGGCGCTGCCGATGATGGTGCCCGCCTTTCGGCTACACGCAGGAGTGACCCTAGGCAAGAGTGACCTTTGGTGCGCGGTTATTGGAAAGCGCGAGGGGGCCAAACCCAAGCGCACAGGCCGTTGCTATCGCATCGAATTCAGCGATCGGGGGTCCCCAATGAGCCCGCACCAAAGGTCACTCTGGAGAAAGGTCAGGTCACTCTTACGCATAGCCGAGCCTTCTTCAGGGCGGAGTTTCCGTGCCGATCCACGGTGGTGACGCTGCCCTTCATGACGATGAACATCCAATCGCCCACCTCTCCCTCGCGAAGGATCGTCTCCTGCGGCCCGAACGACTGCACCGAGCAAGCACCGGCGAGGAGCTTCCGCTCGGCATCGTTCATGCCGCAGAAAGAAGGGTCGGAGCTCAAGAAGTCGATCGCCCTGTGCAGATGCTTCTCACTGAGGTTCTGCATGCACGAGCGGAAGGTATGCTCGTCCATCTTCCAAAGAACGCCGTCTTCCTTGCATGTAACCGAGGCTGTCCGCGGCACGCTATAGAGCATCGCCAGCTCCCCGAACGTATTTTTCTTGGTGAGCTGCTTGAGATTTTTGCCGTCAATGGAAACCACATAGACGCCACTCTGAATGAAGTAGCAGCAGTCTCCCAGCTCTCCTTGGGAGAAAACCTTGTCCCCAGCAGAGGCCTTTTGTGTGGTCATGAACTCTACGACTTGATTCCGCTCCTCGTCCTCCAGGCTTGAGAACAGGAAGTGCTTTTGTAGGATCTTTGTCAGCAGGTTCCGACTGGTCGCACTCATCTCTACCTTACCCTGCCCCTTATCGCCTTTGCTTTTTGCACTGTCTTCGCCTTGCCGACGTACTCGCTGGCCATGCTTTTCAGCTCGGAGCGGGCCACTCCGTGGAGTTGCATCTGGGGACGGTTCATCATTTCTTTGACATTGGCCCTTGACATCGAGCGGTGTCACTTTCACATCGGGCTTAGCCTTGGCGGAAGCTCCACAACCCATCTCAACGGCGTTCTTTGCCGCGCACGCCACCAGGGAACCTGGAACCACAATGCTTCAGACCACCTGCTTACCAAGATGACGATACTGATGTTGATGAATGTCGCACTGCGGTGTTTGTTGATGGAGGTCACGCCGCGATTGGAAGAACGGCTCAACAGTATGACGAGAGTGGCCAGCGACGGCATAGGCACGAGTCGTGGTATGATGATGACAGCGGCAGCGCCAAAACAGTGCAATGGTGCGATCAACGTTTCGTTTAGAACTCCGGTTGACAAAACAAAGGTGGAGGCCAGCCCAGCTCCTGATGTTTGTGCACGCCTGTCGCGAGCAAGCCTCGGATTGGCTATACGCAAGAGGTGACCCTGGGTAAGAGAGACATT